CGATACCTCACCACTTCAACCCTATTGATAAATCACCCCAATCACGGATTGAATTTCTGCGCTACCAACTTCTCAGCGTGTTTTTTTTTCCATGAAACGTGCGTACCGTCTATTTTCACAGTTCAGCCAAACAGTTGTTTTATTTTAATGCAAAATTTAATAACGTCATCTTTAATTTGTTTTGTCCAAAAAGTTTAATTGATTTCCAGTATTTCGATTCCATTTTCATCTATTGTACAACACTGGTGGTGTTTATAATATAATATATGTTAAACAGACTTTCCTCTGTTTATTAACATCAATTCAGCTTACAATATTAAATTTTTTAAACTGTGCTTTTCAAAATATTGCATTTTTTTTTACAATCTTCCGAGTCAAGTTGCGGAATCTTAGCAATGCGCTTTGAAATGTTGGAATGAAATGCAATTTTATTATAAAAGCAGCACATGGACGCTTTCATCTTAAAGACAGTGCCTGAACACTTCAATGCGTCGAAATGGAATCAGTCCAAATGCCATTGGACGACCAGGAAAGGACATATAAGCTCTATAACATGTACAAGGTAAGCCGAAAGAAATATTATATTATAATAATGTGTACACAATTTTATGAAAATAATTATAACAGTGCTGAAAATAAAGGAAACATATATTTCATATCTCAGAAGTTTTAGCAGTTGAAGGAAAAAAACGACTCATTTTTAGAATGTTATTTATACATACATTATATTAAAGGGAGGATTTTTTTTACCGTAGGCATAACATGTCAAACATTTTCTTTACGCATTAAAAATGCCACAAATGGATCATTCATGAAAACCCCCGATTTGTATTCTTACAAATCGATGTAGAGTTTGCAATCACCGTAATCTAGATTCCCATAATATACATTAAGGACAGAAAATACTTTTTTCTTTTACCTATTACATTAATAAGGTCACTTTAATAGATTTTTTTTAAAATACTTATATTCACATTTTCCGTAAAAAAATGTTGTCAAAGTGCTCTAGCCGTAACTATCTACTCACCGGATATTCGATTCATTCTTACGATATACTTATATGAACAAGATGTTTTTTGCTTATTTGCATATTGATTAAGACCACTTAAATAAAATTCACATCTAAAATATCATGCGTCATGATTCAGTTTTTGTAACACAGACTGTATAGAGACGGGCAATGAACGTTTTTGATATTATGTAATTTTCGTTGGGAAGTCGAGATATTAACAATTTTTCCACTTTCAATCTATAATATAAAAATGAATCGCTGAATGTGATGCTAAGCGCAAATCTCGATAACAGCTGAACCGATTTCGATAATTCTTTTTTTAGAATATTCCTTGAAGTACAAGGAGGGTTCTTACGCAGAGAAAAATTAAAAAAATGCCTGAAAATGTCCAAAAGCAACACTTTTCTATACTCCCATACAAACGAGTCGTAATAATACTTAAAAGTCAATTTGAACTTTAATACCATACCATAAATTTCTTTTTTTTTTTAATGTTATAGGGGGCATACTAGCAGACGGCTCACCTGATGGTAAGTGATTACCGTCGCCCATGAACACTTGCAACACCAGGAGTATCACAAATGCGATGCCGGCCTTTAAGGAAGGAGTACGCTCTTTTTTTGAAGGTTTTTGAGTCGTATTGGTCCGGAAACACTGCTGGCGACAATATATTCCACAGTTTTGTCGTACGTGGTAAAAAATTTCGACAAAAACGAACGGTTGTGGATAGCCACGCATCAAGATGATGGGGATGAAATTTTTGTCGCGATGTACGATGGCGAAATGCAGCAGCTGGAATTAATCCGAACAATTCCTCAGAACACTCCCCGTGATAAATGCGATAGAAGATGCAGAGCGAAGCTACATCCCTACGCAAAGCCAAAGGATCAAGCTGATCGGAAAGGTCCTAGTCGTCGATGATTCAAGCCGCTCGGCGCTGGATGCGATCTAAAGGGAGAAGCTAGTACTGGGGTGCCCCCGCCCAAAGATGAGAGCAGTACTCCATGTGAGGCCGAACCTGTGCCTTATAAAGTTGCAGTCGGTGGGCCGGTGTGAAGTACATTCTCGATCTATTGAGCACACCAAGCTTCTTAGAAGCCAATTTGGCCTTGCCCTCTAAATGATCCCGGAACTGGACGTCGCTCGATATGTCAACGCCAAGAATTCCAATACTAGCTGAGGCAGTTACAGGAGTGTTCTGAAAAAGAGGAGATACGATAAATGGTAAATGTAGGGTTAAATTGGACTAGATTAAGTCGACCCCAATTCGTTACTTGGTTTAACAAAGTTTCGACTTCAGACACAAGTTTGTTCCGGCACTCGATGACGTTTTCCCATGATATGTTGGCGCGGCCGGTATATAGGGCATCACCCGTGCTGTCGTCTGCATAACAATGAATGCCATCAATTTGAAGCACATCATTGATATGAAGAAGAAAGAGCGTAGGTGATAGCACACAGCCTTGCGGAACACCAGCGTTTACGGATTTGGAGTCCGAGCATGCACCGTCGACTGCGACCTTGATGCTCCTGTCCGCAAGAAAGCTAGTGATCCAAACGCACAGCTTTTCAGGAAGCCCATAAGAAGGAAGCTTCGAAAGAAGCGCTTTGTGCCAAACCCGATCGAAGGCCTTCGCGATATCCAGAGAAATATTAGTGGAGAGATTCTGGGAAGGCAAAACAATTGAGCGACGTGATGTCAATAGAAGTTTTGAAAAGGCAAATATACCATTTTCAGTTTTTTTATATTACCTACATAGATAAATGATTGGTCTCGCTTCACTCCACTAGATACCGCGCTATCAAAAAACAACAGCTCCGGTTATGGGGCAACTCATTATTGTAGTGTGTGTATGTCACTCTGCAAGGACGTTGTCATATGTCAAAAAAAATGTAGCCAGCTGCTCAACTGCTACCCCAGTAATAGGGAAAATATTTTATGCTGTTGTCAATCCACACTAACAATACCAATTACAAAATCCATACATATTAAATGAATATATATCATTATTAGTATTTTTTTTTTTGCAAATATACATGATGCACGGATGCGCGAATCCTACAATTTTATCACGCTTGCATAGTTAGTTTCTTTATTTTTATCCCACCTGTCAATAGTTTGGTTTCAAATTCTTATAAGTGCCGCCGTCTGAGTGGTATGTACGCCAGTTTTGATGGTGTCGGCCTTCATAGGTCATAGGTCCCGGGAGCTAGGCTAATAGATGTGAGACTTTCGATATATATAAATATTTATTATACATTTAGTGATATCAATTCTGGCATGATTCTCTACAGCTAAACTTAAATTTGACAACAGTGCATCCTTGTCATTCTCTATACAGAATGAAAAGGAGAGACTGATGTTAAATTTGGTTTTAAGTTCAAAGAATCACGCCAGAATCGACCCCATTATCTTTATAAATCTTTAAAGTCACTGGCGTAAAAGAATAAAGTTTATTAACAAAAAATAAAAATTACATGCCACTAACTTGAACAAGTTTACGATAAATTTGCCTTTTAACATTCCCTGACTTTTGCAAATTTTCTTTCTTCCAAATGTAATGGAGTCGTATTTGTATAAACTTCGCCACTGCTAGTCGAATTAAATTAATCTGATGTATGGCACCATTAACATGACTTGAGTCGAAATCAAAATATCTTTTAGAACCCGTCCCGATGATTTTTTTCATGACATCAATTACAATTTTTTTATATATTAAATTTGATTTTATGTGCGACACTTTATCTATATTTTATTCTGAAATCAAGCATATTAAAAATACATCTTCAGAGGCATATGATAATCCCCCTATATCTTTTAACATCACAAATTTATGAAACCAACAATGATTTTTAGCAGTTAAATTATCAATACAATGACAGCATTTCAATTTTTTTGTTAAGAACTTGACAACAAAACCGGCTACGTATCCAACAACGTGGTTTTTAAAATTCGACATGTATGGCACATCCAAGAATTCTGTGATCTCGACAAAATCATCCTTAACTTTTTCTAGTGCATTTAATAATACTGAATCTTCTTCTTCGAAACGTTCCCACATGAAAATGAAATTTATTGGAATTTTCTAGAAAAACTAAATAATTTGTAAGATAAAGAAGGCCTCCATTTAGCTAATAAAATAACGAAACGTCATTTAGAATTTCGCAATTATATAATGAAGGTAAAGTTTGCTTCAAATTATTAAGTTTCCTTTATTATTACCCGCACCATAAGCTATCCCTGAGGCCCAAGCACGAGTTTTTGACAGCTGCTTAACGCTAACGTATCGCATCGTCAAAGTTTCTATGAAAAAAACTAAGCAGCGCCACTGACACCATGTATAAACTAGCTTTTTCCATACAAAATTTGACCATAACGATACTTTACGAAGCTGTCATAAACTCTTACTTGGGCCTCTGTGCTCAATTTCATTCAATTAATTTCAACATTTTTTCCAAAATTGTGATGTTTTCTTAACCCCCCCGATTTATTTTCAAATATTTTCGATTCACTAACACGAATAGTTTGTATTTCATAAAGAGGTCAAATGAAATGGGTCATATAACAGTATATTCATATTATAAAAATCTCAACCATAGGGACTTTTATATTGCATACTTGGCATCACTAAATGACGTTTATTTTTCAGGAAATTTTAAATCGAAATTTCGAAATTATAAGATACTTACTGATGGTATGTGATCCCAGTGTCCTTTTTATTTTTTGAACTATTATTCTTACAACGTTTCACAACACAAACTGACATTTTGCTGCGGATTGTGCTCTAAATTGATTAAAATATGCGGGACTAACACCTAAAGCGCAGCTGTCAATGTGACTGACACGGCGAAGGCTCGGGTCTGCCGATTTCAGCAAAGTATTTGTTGCCCCATTAAACAAGTACGCCGGCGGTATCTAGTCGAGTGAAGCGAGACCAATCATTCATCTATGAATTACCTCTATGAAGAGTCATTTAAATCTACACTACAGCTCTATACCGAAGCGAAGCTAGGGCGGGCCACTAGTTATCTAATAAAAAAAACTTAATGTTTTACAGCATTATGATATTGTAATTATTTTATAAATTTTAAAACAAGTTGAGTATGGAGGTTTTATGAGCTGAGGCTGTTTGGAGAAGCAAAGTCAGAAGTGACCTTACAGAAGATCAGAGTTAGTATAATTATTTTTATATTTTAGAGGTATGTGTACTATATAAGTAAGGAATTTTTTGTTAGTACTAGTGAGTAAGCTTTTACGGGGAAAGGAAAAGGCCAGATTGAGACCTCAACACGAATGTAAGATTCCCTTTAGTGTTGCAAACAAACCTTGATTTATTTATATGTTGCAGACGTTTCTAAACTGCGGCATCGAGCGGATCATATACTTCTTTGCAACCCCCTTGTATTAAAAAATGCAGATCATAATCTAATCTTCACTTAGTTTAATTAAAATTAAGAAAAATTTAAATGACAGAGAAGAAAAACAAGAAGAATAAATGATGAAACATCTCAACTATTTCATGATATATAACTAGCTACCGCCCGCGACTTCATCCATCTTAACTTTAGTTTCTTGAATATCCCAGAGGAACTTAATATTTATCCCGGATAAAAAGTATCCTATGTCTCAATCCAGGTCATAAACTATATGCGAATCAAATTTCATTCTAATCCGTCCAGTAGGATGAATACACAATATACTAAGTATTTCATATATTTTTGAGCATATCGATCATTATATCCGCACTTGCCTGCTACATGAGCTTTCCGCTAGTACACTTTTTAATTTGATGTACATATCCTAAGAATGTAAAAGGATAAAATTTAAGTATTGGTTGTTTCGTTTCTCAATCCCTTTCTCAATGAAAATTCCTATACTGGGTGGCGCAAAAGTAAGTACTAAATCGGAAGATGTTATAATTATTGCAAATGGCATCGTACGTCAATCGTGTTTGACATTTGTGAACTAGACAGTTGCAGAATATAAAGAGACAAGCAGTGGAGCACGATACTCCGTAGGAGAGTGAACATGCGTTGTTTCAAAAAGACAGTACAACTGCACACACAGCACGATTTCATTTTGGCGATTTGGCATGGCCAGCAAGACCGCTTAATTTAACCGCCCCGGAATTCTTTCTTTGGGGCAATTTGAAGTTTCGGGTTTATTTCAACAAGCCTCAAACAATCACAGCCGCTAATCAAAGAGTCATTCAACAGGAATGCGAAGTTATCACCGAAATTCTTGCGAAAATCATGGAAAATGTAATAAAACGGGTACAAGTGTGTATCAACACTAGCGACAGCCACTTAATGGAATCATCTTTTCCACTTAGCAGGAAAAAGCTAATATTTCCATCACTTAAAGTCGTTTATTTTTATTTAATACATAAAATATATAAAAACAAAATTCTACGATTACTTTTGCGCCACCTTCTAATTCGGACCTAATGGAATCACATTACACAAATAACTTCATTTTGTCTAGTTATTTTTCCCTTTCAAAAATTTCATTCGAGTTACCGCCGGCACCGTCGATACTACATCGCTCTACCTGCTTTCATTCCTATGTTTATATTGATCTTCTATAAATTACTTAAATTAAACATTCATTCTTCCTTAAAGGTCTCATATATAATATATAATAGGCATATTATTTTGGCCAAATGAGTTCTTCTGCTCCAGAGCCCTTAAGTAAACCATAAAAGCTTTTCCGAAAGCTTTTCCTATGAGATTTGGAGTTAACAAATAATAGATTTGATGACGGGAATTTTGAGCAATACATAGTAGCAATTAAAGTTAAATTACATTATCGAATATTGTAATAGGTACGATTTATAGGTAGAGTACAGGCAATGTCATGTTAATGATCGAAACAAAAGAACGGTTAAATTATAGTTTTTCTATCTACTTTCCTACGTTTCCATTCCATGCACCATGGAAACGGAACGAAACTTCAAGATCTAACAGCATGCACCATCTTCGAACCCGCTGACTCGAAGCATGGATGGGCAACAGCAGCGCCGTGGGCAGGTGCGGCGATAGGCGGTACTACGATGAGCCCCTCCGTCCGCGGCGCGCACACCGACCGCCACGCAGTCTTCCCGCGCTCGCCACACGTGCGTCAAGCGTGCCTTCACACCGCCTACGATCGTACAAATGAAACTAAAACTCAAAAGTGCGTCCGGTTTTAATAGGACAAAATTCATTGTGCCAAATTTGTGAACTGCAAGGATATTATTGCGTCTCTACATACTGTGCGGACTCGAGTGCTTCATCAATTTGACGTTCTAATTATATAATTTTTCTTCCTTGATAGATTTATTACATCTTCCATAGCACCGGAAAGCGTTTAATTAATGAATGGAATTAATTAAATCGTTCACATTTGTCGAATGGAATTTAGGACAAGAAACTGAGAATTTATAAATGGTATGTTGACTTGTGCTTTATAAACTTTTTAACTTAAGTTAGAAATGGTAATTGTTTTTTTTTACGGATGGAATAATTATTAATTGGGTTTACTTATTACTTACTTTTGTGTGTGAGTTTACTTACACGGTATCTATTTCATTTTATATGTTAAAGTATAAAAAGTCAAGTTGTTATTTCCTTAAAAAGGAACCCATGTTTACTTAAATAAAAGTATTTATTTCAATGACATTATAATATCACTATCTACCACAAACTGGAGCGGCTATATTGATACAGTGATAAGATAAACTGGAGTTAATTATAAGTAGTTTTATTATACTGAAATCATTTAATATTATAAAGAATACATCCACATTAACTTGTATAAAGTTGAAAATGTTTTCAATAAATTGCTGAGCTAGAATGATTTGAAACATGTAATTATGTTATAATTGAATTATAAAGTTGTAGAAAAAAATTAATTTGGGATAAAAAAATTATCGCCCTAAAACGGTCGTTAGATATTCAGAATGAATATAATGTGCCTTTTACATTTTGTAGAGAAAATTCGTTTAATTCTCTTTTATTTCTTTTGCTGTTTGTCTAAATAAATTAGTAACCGATTGAATTGGCATAGTTTAGGAGTCATAATTTCACTCACAGTTAAGTAACAAAATGTAGAAACATTTACTTAGGTAAGTACTAGGAATTGCTTTTAATTACCAAAGCTTATGTTTACTGTCTGAAAATTGGCTAGACAGAGAGAATTAGACAATAGAGAATAATATAATTATATCGACTTGTCTGGAATTCGAACCTTGGACATGCCAACAAAAGATACAAAACAATAAGACAGATCGGAATGTACAAGTTTCATCACAATGTAACGTAGACCGTCCCCAGTCTATTAATCTATCCACTGCTAGGGCACAGGCCTCCCTTATGGATTGGATGAGGTAGACCTTCCTTATGGAGGAGTCCGGACCACGCGGGCCCAGCGTGGTTTAGTAGGTGCTCACGACTGCAAATGCAGCCGGGTCCAACGGCACTGAAGAACGATCCTCAGTGCTTCAGGGAGCTCGATACACCAAATCCTTGGTCACCCATCCTATGAGCGGTCATTGCGAAAGTTGCTTAACTTCCACGATTGCAGACTGAACACGCTTACTAGTGTACCAATGAACTTCTCTAAAGTAATGTCACTTGAACAAAACTAGAGGTATGGAAATATTTACATGATGTTTTTTTGGAGAAAATATGTACTTAGTTGCAACAGTGATTTACTAACAAGAAGTTCTAACTGACGCACTATATAAGTACTCGTGTACCTGCGCTCGGTCATTGACTTCAAATTATTCTTCGGCTACTACCTACTAAATAATGCCACAATTTTTGACATCATTTTTATTTTTTATTAATATTTTAAAGCCATATTAGTTTAGTAAAGGACTCTTCCGAATCTTTAAATGAATAAAGCTACGATACTCAAATTAAAATCAGAACAATAATTTTAAGTAAATTTCAAATCACACCGGCGAATCCCGCGGTGAATAGTGAGTTTCTCCTTACGGAATAGCACTGCAGAAAATAAATTTATTTCTCATTAAATTATAACTATTCGTTCCAAAATTATTTTAGATAAAGTTTTGAAGTTGAATTGACAAATCTGACTTTAATATATAAAACGAAGCAAGACGTTCTACTTCATGAACAGCAATAGCGATCATTTAAAAATGCAGATTTAACTATAAAAGCGGTCGTCCTAAAAATAGGACAAAAGTGGCACGCTATGGAAGCCTTACGAAAGTTTTATGGGCTCATAACATAACGGCACTTTGAGAACAAATAGGTATGTAACTCATTTAACGAATCACTTGTGTATGAATATTCCATCAGTTTTGTCAGATGAAAACGATTATTTGAAACTATGTATTCTAATATCATTAATAATATGTGAATTAGGTTAATAGTTTTATATATTTATAGGGCGAATATTTTAATGAAATACTTAATATCAAGTCAAAGATGAAACGTCAATTTTATGATTTAAAAGGAACTCAATAATGTGTTTTTATAATCATATCAAAAACTTCACAAATCACACCTGCCGTTAAAGTTAACACCAACTTATAAATACCTCCGTAAACAATGCGTCTCTACCGGTTTTCGAAAGCAGAAAAAAAGACGAATCCACCTGCTTTCTTATTTTATTTGTTTGTCTCCCCCACAAAATGTAAGCAAGCTACGATCAGAGAATGCGTTCCAATTGTAATAACATCAATTGATTTAATGATATTTTAGTGGGAGGAATATAACGAGGTCACCGACCGACAATTATGTCCTCCTAGAGACTCCACTACGTTGTTACAATAATGCTGTTACGATTTCTTGTTCTCGTACGATACACAAGGATAAATCACCCAGGGACTTTGCACTGAAATGGCCACTAGATTCAGATTTTAAGTATGTTAATTCTACTATTGTTCTACGATAGTTAGTAATACTATCGTTACCATTGAAGTAAATCGTCAAACAGTTCATTTTCGAAGTGTATTAAACTTACTTACTTTACAAAACTTTCTACTTTCCACGCTCTAAAACATATTAGAAACATCGTATCGTTATGGATGCCACATTATAAACGACAATTACCGAGATTAATCGACTGAGAATAATTTTGTGTTCGTAAAAAAGGGAATGGCATATAAATAACGAAATTAAATACTTAATTAAGTAGTAACCTATTTTTAAAATTGTTAGGGTAATATCACTAAATTGATAAAATTATTGAAGTTTTCGTTTGAATCATAGGAGAAAGATTTTTTATTTTACAACTTTATTCAATATAGCTAAACACAAAGTCTGAAGCAAGTATAAAAATATGACGATCGGTAATATAGTGTTGTGAAATCCATCACTTAAAGTATCTTTAATTATATTATATGGATCTTAAACAGACTTGAAAATGGATAAAAGAGAGGACAATATTGATCCTTTTTAGTGTACTATTCTTCCGCGAAGAATTTCACTTTCGTAGCTAGTTTACTTCAACTTTACATAAACATTCCTACAATATTCGATACCGATTAACCGACGGGTTTAAGGTTAAATAAAAACGAACCAAATTGACGTCCATGCGTGGCCATCCTATTTCTTCTGAATTTTTGTAAATACATATTAATACCTGATTATGAGTACATACATAATAAAAAAAATAAAATCATGTTGCTTATTTCGAAACCTCAAAGTACTAACTTTTAGTAATTATCAGGGTGTCCTTTCACTTGTCGTTAGTAGTGTAGTGGTTTAAAATAAGACCCATTTGGGCTCGCAGCCGGTGCGGGCACGGAACCGGTCCGAGGAATGAGACCGACTCGACTCAAGGTACAATCACAATGTTGATCAATTGGATTTTGGAACGATTAAAACGGTTCTCACATTCGAAATAGATATTGAATAATAATAAATTACTAGGCTTCGAGTCGAACCTCGCTGAATGAATGTTTAAAATATTACTTGTAGTTACCTACTACCAACAAAATACGCATAACGTTCCAGATGTCCACGTTAAATATAAGAATATTAAATAATAGTGCTGCAAAGTAAACATACTGATATTTAACATTAACAAAGCGAAGATGTTGAGCAACTGTTTTAAAAGATATTATACTTCTGAAAGATAATAAAACATGAACGAGTTTATTATTTATTCAGGAGATACTTCAGTAGAGTTTTACTTTGAACTCCAATTTCTGGGAATGAACCGAATATGTATGGAGGTATGGTTTGCGAGAAAACTTCTAAGAATTATAAATAAAATGAGTGAAACTGATTTTTAATTGCCTAGATTATCAATATATTAATTCCAACTCTGATTTTAAAAAATGTTGAAACAAGTTGACCTTTGCCCCAAATAGCCCAAGTTCAGATATTTCAATCAATTCAGCCATTCAAGCCCACTAACATCAAAGTTGTTAATTCAAATTAAGGCTAAATCAAGTTAAAGCCATCATAACAATTGACAATGATAAAATAAGGCTAAAACATGATTAGCTTTTAAATTTGAATGAACAATCCAATTCTAAATTATATATTTTTTTCGTCATGCAACATTAATGCGTAAACACCAAAATTTATAATATATTCACATTAATACTGTAGATTTTACAATATCAAGAGATTATTATGTTTTTTTACTAATACGAAATATTTAAGTCAGAAATATTGGTAATTCATTACTTTTATATATAGAACGAGAGGAATATTATATTTTCATATACTACAGAAAGGCCATCAATTAATACTATTCATCGAAAATAAAGTACGAGTTAATAATATAGTAGATATCAACTATTACACAGATCGAACTAAATGTCGATTGCTATTTGAAAGTTCAACGCAATGTTATTCAATCGCGCAATATTAAGAAATACTGGATCGTGTACAAGTGAACAAGCCTAGTGCTCTATCACAACCATAGCATTGTCATTATTATCAATTTTGGTGTTTACGCATTAATGTTGCATGACGAAAAAAATATATAATTTAGAATTGGATTGTTCATTCAAATTTAAAAGCTAATCATGTTTTAGCCTTATTTTATCATTGTCAATTGTTATGATGGCTTTAACTTGATTTAGCCTTAATTTGAATTAACAACTTTGATGTTAGTGGGCTTGAATGGCTGAATTGATTGAAATATCTGAACTTGGGCTATTTGGGGCAAAGGTCAACTTGTTTCAACATTTTTTAAAATCAGAGTTGGAATTAATATATTGATAACCGTAACCATAATCTTCAAATTTTGGTGTATTTATACAATTTTGGTAACTGTTAATTCATCACCACAATTAGAAAGCTATCAGAAATAATGAAATTAAAACAAACTATTTGACAAATAAATAAGAAGAAATCTGTGTACAAAAAAAGATTAGATAGAAAGGAAATCAAGTGATATAATATATTTCCAAAAATTATGTAACAAAACCAAATGGTCAGTCCTAAAGAAAAGAAGAGGA